TTTGATAATAAATTAGAACTAAATGGTAACAATGTTAGGCTGGGCTGACCTGGTACCCAAGATCCATGAATAACAATCCCTTTTTTGATGGAGAATTGAAATAAAGACCGTCAGACTGGCAGGTCAGTACACTAGCAGCTGCACCATCACTGCTTTCTAAGAGGCTATAGTATTCCACAATTCCAGGACAGGTAATTTTATGTCTTGTCTTCTCAGATAATGGTGATAATAAGGTGGTCTGGAATGACCTAGTCAGCTGAATATTCTTAAAGGCCTTAAAGAAATTTTCACTGTGCTCATTCATTGTTCATATTTCTGCTTCATTTTGTAAGGTTGAGCATACCCACAATTTGACAGTTCTTATTTTTAATGTGATATTTTTTTTTCTCTAGACATCAATAATATTTAGTTTGACTATCATCTTACAACAACAGATTGCAACGAACCGCCATGCATGGAGAGTCATGACCTCTGCCCTATGTGCCGCACTCGACACAAGAGGAAAGACTAACTAACTAATCATCTTATCTAAGGTGTCATGAAGATAGAGCAAACAATAAAAACAAAACTAGAGAAAAAAAAATACAATTTTTACTGAAAATTAATTCTAAGGATACTGGGAGTTGTTTCAATGAAACAAAAACAAAACAAAAAAATAAGGATACATGCATACAAATTTATAATTTCATTGATTTATGTTAACAAAACCTATATCTTGAAACAATTTCAAGTTTCTTTTGTGTAAATGTCCAAGTTTATTAAAGGCAAAGCTAGATGTTTTCTAAATAAACTTTATAGTTTCATTCAGGTTAACCCAGAGGTTTTATCCATGCAGACCTGAAGGTTCCATTCCTACTGTCCCAAACAACGTATAGTGTGATACTTTTGTCTTTTTTTATGTGTGTATTTTTTTTTTTTTTTCAATGAATGTGTCATGGATAATTAAACTATTTACATTTTGTTGTAGTATATTCAAAAATTAAATCTACCATCTTTAAATTCTTTACAAGGTATGTGTATTTTTAAAAATCTAATTGAAGGTGTCATGAATAATAAGACAACTTACATTTCATTATACTATATTCAAAAAGTAGATCTAACATCTTTCAGTTCTTTACAAGGTATGTGTATTTTTAAAAATCTAATTGAAGGTGTCATGAATAATAAGACAACTTACATTTCATTACACTATATTCAACAAATAGATCTAACATCTTTCAGTTCTTTACAAGGTATGTGTATTTTTCCTAAGAAAACAACACACTTCTAAGTTCTTTTTTATATATAGTTTCGACCCTGAAAAATATACAAATGCTAAACAATCCCCTAAGATGTTAAACCCCAACAAATACAGAAATTTATTTCAAGCAAACCCACAGACTTAATGCAGGAAAACTCAAGTTTCATCCATGAATACATAAATGTGTAATCTATGGATAAAAATAAACCCGGAGATTTCATCAAATAAAGCTGGAAGATTACATTACAAAATATCACAGGTTTTGTCCAAGAAAATCCAAAATTGTGATCCATATCTATCAACATAAAAACATACCAAGAAATTTTATTGACAAATTATTGCCAGATTACATTTTTAAAATTAAAATCTTTGAAAAGCCAGAGGTTGACTTTGTTTAAACATGAAATATTTTTGAAAAAATAAAAGCCTCGTTTAAAAAAAAAAAATTTACTAAATCCTCAAATACTAGAAGATTTCTTTGCTTAAACATAAATTTAAAAAATAATTATAATAATACAAATCATAAGGAGACGTCAGAAAAATAAGATTTAATAAAGGCAAACCGTGGAACTTGCCTGCCTCAAGGAAATCAAAAACTTTTTTTCACTCAGCAAACCACAAATGTGTGTCTGAATCAAAATTTACTTGGACAACTCTGTAAATCTAAGTACCACAGCTAAACCTGCATAATTCCAAAAAAAAAAAAAAATACAAACTACAGGTTTCAAATGAAGCTCTAGACAATCAAACAACAAACACTGGGTAAACTATTCAAGGACAACATATTTTGATACTTGTGATCTGCCAACTCTGCAGGAGAAAGCAAAACAGCTGGTATCAATGTCACTGTATATTTGTTTTTTTTTGCTAACCTGTTTCAGTGCACTTCAGGTAAACCAACTGAAGCTCAGTCACTCTCTAGACACATAACTTTTGTAATAATGTTCCAGATAGTATGGTACATTATAAGGCAAAAGAAGTATAGGTGGGGTTAGCAAGGGGGTTATATAATTATTTTTGTGGAAAGCTTAAAATGGTAGGTAAAAAAAAATAATAACCAGGATAAACTTGATTAAAATATCAGACAACAGAGAGAGAGAGAGAGAGAGAGAGAGAGAGAGAGAGAGAGAGAGAGAGAGAGAGAGAGAGAGAGAGAGAGAGAGAGAGAGAGAGAGACAGACAGAGACAGAGACAGAGAGACAGAGACAGAGAGACAGAGAGAGAATGAGAGAGAGATGGAGAGAGAGAGAGAGAGGGAGAGAGAGAGAGAGAGAGAGAGAGTTGTGGTCGCCAAGTCTGCTCTAGAAAAGGCTTTTGAAGAAGAAGAAACTGCCTCAAAACATGCTGCTTTCTGTCCTTTCCACCACTTTGTGGTGTTACTGTGAGAAGTATTAACCTTATTTTATATAAAATACACCTTGTCATTTATTAGTGCAATATGAAGATACATGGAGATACATGGCTCAGAACACCCCTGTGAGTTTTCAGGGTGCCCACTGTAGAGGGAAGGGGAGGGGGATTACAGACCCACTGTCTTGATAACAAGAATGTCATAAAATTTGACTATTAGGAGTGTTTCTTTCAAAGTGTGGGTGTTCATCTGCCTGAGAGGACAGGAACCAACAGTCTGCACACAAATAAGCCAGATCTGACTGTGCTGGCAAAACACATGTTCTGAAACAAGACCAAAGTTCAGAAGTGGATGAACAACCAAAACTTTCCACTAGAGTTTATGCCAGTGAAAATGAAGAAGAAAAAGAATCATTTCGCAGCAGAGATCCGTCCCGCTTTACAAGCCAGTCTGTATCCTTACTGCCTGTAATTGAGTTTAACAAACTGTATACACTGGTGCAAACATGCTTATGAGTGATCAGAAACCTAACAACAATGAAACATTCAGTTATCATAAGATATATTAAGCCAATCCATTATAAGATGAAAAAAAAAACATAAATAAATGGATGGAAGATATGAAAACCTAATAATTCTCAAAAAAAAGGAAATTAGAAATGAATCAGTCAAAGACCATAACTCTTTGAGTCCCAAGGAACGCGTAATACGTTCATAGATTCCTACCTAGAAGCCCAATGAACGCAAGATGCACCGATTTTACTTCTTTTTTGACTACCCCTTGGGCCTGTGATGCTAAACCCCCTGGGACTCAAAGAGATAATGACACTAGAATTAAATTAAGGGAATTCTGACCTAAACTTGATGATCAGGCAAGGCAAAAGGTTAAGCTTCAAAGTTATTTTTGCTTCCAACAGCGTTTCGCTAATGCACCTTCCACATATGGATGGTAGTCTATGGTTTCGATGGCTGAGCTACTGAGTTTAGTGCTTGGTGCAGCCCTGTGAGCTGTGTTTTTCCTGCGAAATGCCTTTCACTAGTACAGCGGCTGTTTCATGTATTAAATACAGCCAGTAGCCGGTTTATGTGTGCACTGGTGAAATACTTTATGTAATAATTCTATGGGGAAGCCTGACTGCAGTCAAGTTAAAAGCTTGACTAAGCCTAAGACTAATTAACTCTTTATTTTTTTTTTTTTTTTAAAGACCCTGCTCCATCTTACAGTGCCAAGTTTTAAAGAGACATCTGGTACAAGTCTTAGTGTACGCTATATGGATGCTGGCATTCACAACCTCAGATATTTTGTCTATCCATCACTTGTGTGGATGGCCTCTAGATCTGCTTCCATTGTGACAGAGTCACAGGGTGCTCTGTGGTGCAGTCTTGTGGCAGTCTTGACACATGCAGCAACATCTGTTATGCTGGCCCTTAAAAATCCCCATGGGGGTTCTGAAGCTCCACAGGCATGTCATAGGAGCTGACTAATTATTGATGTTTCCTTCAAAGTCAGAGTGCATCTGCCTGAGAGACAAGGGACCAACAGTCTGCATACAAATAAGCCAGATCTGTAAAATGGATGTGCATGCAAAATTAAAGTTCTGGGGTCAAAACCAGAGTCTAAGTGGATGAATACGTAGAACTTTCTGCTAGAGTATGCAGCAGTTCAATGTTAAGAATAAGAAGAAAAGGGCTCTTAAAAAAGTGGATGGCACAATGTTTTGTAGTCTACAGCTAGGCTGCAATATCTGCACCTTTCAGCCTAACACACACAATTTTAATAAACTGTTAATTAGTTACCTTTTATGACATGGTTGTTGGGGACAGTAGGTCTATTCTCTCTCCCCCCCCCCCCCCCTTGCCTAATCCTGGAACCCACATAGGAAGTGTTGGAACTATCTGACCCATTCTCTCTTGATGTAGGTTAGCACTTGTGTCCTGATATTGTAGTTCCTGATTTTGCATCTTCTTGTTTTAGAATTTGTCATAGACAATTCAGTTCCATTAAACTAATTAATAATGAATAAATTCCAGAATATGTAATCAGTAAATAACTGGTGAGTCAGAAATAAACATTAAGCTACTTACTAATCAGAACAAGAGAACATAAGATGAACACATAAGAAATGTGGCCAAAACAAAAAATGAAAAAACAAATCATTCAGTGGTCACAAAGATAGTATAACTAAACTGAATAATAAATAGGAAAAAACCTGATCTTGTAAGCACCCACTGAAGCCGATGAGATAGACATAAACATCACACCAGTCTCTGATTAAATGGACATAAATATTAAACCAATCATTGATAAGAGGAATAATTGATAAGATGATAAAATGAATAATCAAACAGATTAATCAATAAGCAATTGAAGACCAAACCAGGCAGTAATCAGGAAGTTGCCACTTACCACCGCTTCTTCCTCCTCTTGTTCTTCCTCAGCAGCAGTCAACTCTTGTGCATTTGCCAGGTTGTCCACAGCGATGGCCAAAAACACATTCAGCAGTGTGTCCGGGGTTGTGGTTAAGGACATAATTATGAAGCACTTGAACACTTACATTGCAAAAAGAAGAATACAACTTTGAAGTAACTCAGACATGCAAGTAATTATTAATCAAGTACAACTGTTCCAGTCATATATGCTTGACATAAGGACTTTTGGCATACAAATTTGTAATTCTGATGTCAAATCAGTACTGTTGAATGGAGCAGAAACATGGAGACAACTAAGGAAATTACTAATAAACGATAAACATTTATTAAGTGGTGCCTGGGCAGAATGGAGAGAATTAAATGGTATGATAGAATCCCTGAAGTTAAGCTTTGGGAGAGAACTAAACAAGTCACAGTTGACCAAGAGGTGAAGAAAAGATGCTGGCATTGGATAGGACACATTAAGAAAACTTGAGAACAATATAACTAAAATGCTTTGCAGTGGAACCAACAGGGGCATAGTAATAAAGAAAGACAAAAAAAAAACCACATGCAAAAAGGAGCTAGAGTGAAGTTAAAAAGATGGGGAGGACATGGGGAGAGCTGCATGCAATAGCAAAGGATAGAATGACTTGGCGTGAGCTGGTTGAGGGTCAATGTTACATTAGGGGGTTATAGAAAGGCAGCAAAAGAATAAGGACAGCATTAATGTATGCATGCAATGCTGTGAAAAAAAAATAACATATGAGATTTATCATAATTAACTATATAAAAGAGATAAAAACATAGTACAGTCTCCCATATAAAAGAGATAAAAACATAATAGTCTCCCATGTAAAAGAGATACATAGTACAGTCTCCCATATAAAAGAGATAAAAACATAGTACAGTCTCCCATATAAAAGAGATAAAAACATAGTACAGTCTCCCATATAAAAAAGATAAAAACATAATAGTCTCCCATGTAAAAGAGATACATAGTACAGTCTCCCATATAAAAGAGATAAAAACATAGTACAGTCTCCCATATAAAAAAGATAAAAACATAATAGTCTCCCATGTAAAAGAGATACATAGTACAGTCTCCCATATAAAAGAGATTAAAACATAGTACAGTCTCCCATTTAAAAGAGATAAAAACAAACTACAGTCTCCTATATAAAAGAGATAAAAACATAGTACAGTCTCCCATGTCACAGAAGGAATATATAAATGTATGCATACAATGCTGTGATGAAAATAAGATATGAGACTTATCGTGCTTAATTGTAAATAAAAGAGAGAAAAAAAAAACATAGTATAGTTTCCTGAGGCACAGAAGGACAGCAAAAATGTATGCATACAACTGTGACAAGATAAGAGGTTATCATAATGAATTATATATACAGTATCACTTCTATATTCTAAACTGGTAGAGTGTCTCTGTGGCAAAGTGGTCAAACCATTTGCCTCGCGTTCTAAAGGTCATAGGTTAGTTTCATCCCTCCATCATTTTGGTTCATGGGTGCAATCTTTACGGCGACCTCTGGGAATAAACATCAAAACTGCAGTGGTCATGCCTGCTACAACGCTAGTGGCTAGCCATTCTGTAGAGACTGAGCCAAACGGGGCAAAACCTGGCGCAATAAAGTTGATCGTCTCAAGTCAACTTTATTCTAAACTGATAAGCCAAAATGTAATAAAAGTGACAACAAATAAAATCACATTCTTCTTAACATCCACGCCATGTGGCACTGGTAGTCATGTCTATCCACAACCTTCTGCCTCATGTACTTTCAGTCAACTCTGACACAGAAAATCCTCCATGCTATGATATTAAACTGCCCAGCATCTTTTCTCTCTGTCTCCATCTGCCTCTCCTCCCCTCCAACTTTCCTACCGTCACGATGTATGCCAGTTTTCTACTTCTCATCACACGACCAAAGAATGTAGATTTCCTCTTTCTGATGTGAGCAACCAGTTCTCTTCATGAGTTAGTTTCTTTCAGGACATCATCATCACCTACAGAGTGCCAGCTGTCTATGGGAATACGGGTCAAGCATCATATGCCATAAGCACCACTAGCTAGAAAAGGCCATACACTTTTACTTCCCTTTATCACAATGCTACCTAGACAATTCAGAAAAAGGATACAGTTACCAAACAGTACCAGCACTATAAAGTAAGCAGAGAAGAACATGCCATGTTTCTCTATTCCACCATGCGCCTCAATGCCCTTGTACATCACCTCGTTCCAGTCCTCCCCAGTCAAGATCTGTATCAGAGCAAGACAAAGGAGATATAACTACTGATGTGTTATCACAACAATCAATTTGGTATTTTACAACTAAGCCATTCAAAATTAACCAGATGAGTAAAATGCATGACAGTTTGAAAACTGTGGTAGTGTAATGACTAGGTGCTTGCCAGTCGGTCTGACAGTCTTGGGTTCAAATCTCTACTGCCTAATTTGGATTGGAAAAGAAATGATCTTGGCTTCTAGGCTGATAGAGCTTACAATGGGTATCAGGTAATGTTCAAGAAAGTAAAGGCAGCCAATGTGCTGTTGACTACATCAGTCATCAAAGGCTGTCTGGTCTATACAAAATATTAGTCTAGCATCATACAGCAAGATGCAGGGCTAGTGTAAAAATAATCTTTTACTATTTTATCTTTACATGAAAATTTAAATTGAAAGACGCATTTTATCCAGTATTCATGCATTTCTGTTGGCTTCTTGTTTTATTGATCCTAGAATCCAGAAAACTCATTAAAACTGTAAAAACTCTCATCCATATGAAAGCTCTTTAGCTTGTCCTCGTCTGTGTCTGATGATGAATAACTGTCTTCCCATTTTGCCTCATCCTCAGTTCCATCTGTGGCATTTGAAATGCTTGGACTTCTTGAATGACTTGATAATGATCTTAGTCTTTACATTATCCAATGATATTTTCACTCAGGTATAAATTTCTTCCATAGTTGTGACTTCATCCTACTTGCTGGTGTCAGATTGTCCCCAGAAGGCATCATCACACATTGGTTCCATTTGTCACTTCCGCAAACTGGATCACTTTTATCTTGAATTCAGCAATTTATACAAATCTTTTCTGAGATGTTTCTGGGCAAAACGTAAACTAATGTAAAAAGTACGAAACAATGAATGTGAAGACTAGTGCAAAAAAAAAAAAAAAAAAAAAACTATTAGAGTGGGAAAGAACTTTTAATTCTATAGTTTTCTTCCCATTTTATGGTGCTTTTTACCCGGCATTCCAAAATGAGGCCCTGGACATGATATTATCTAACAAACCACTTGATAAAAATCTACTATCCTGTATACAATACACATTGTTGTTATGGCCCTTATTTTTTGAAAAATTAACGTGTTATACTAAGGGAAATAGGGCAGATTTTTTTTTTAAATATCAAATCAAATTTTTGTAAATATTTTTTTTATAAAGATTTCTAGCCTAATTTTCTAAATCTTTTTTTTTTAGTCTTCATATATATATATATATATATATATATATATATATATATATATATATATATATATATATATATATATATATATATATATATATATATATATATATATATATATATATATATATATATATATATATATATATATATATATATATATATATATATATATATATATATATATATATATATATATATATATATATATATATATATATATATATATATGAAGTCTAATTTTCTGAATCTATTTACAAAGAAATCCCAATCCTACTTTATATGTGTCATCTCACATGACAAAGAAAGATTGCTTACAATTTTTTTTCATTTTGTAAAATGCTGCCCTTGCCTGAACTATTCAACTTTAAACTTCTTTAATCATCATCATCATCATCATAAATTCTCTTTATGCCTAGTGGCACATCAGGCTTCAGAGAGTACTTTCCATGCCTTTCTGTCCTGTGCAATCTTCAGTGCAGTTTGTTCATTTCAAAGATGCCGCACTCAGGTCACTTTACATCATTCGTCTCCATGTTGTTTTTGGGCATCCCTTTCTTCTCTTTCCCTCTGGTGTCCATGTGAGAGCTGTTTTGGCAGGTATATCAGGATTCATTAACTTCTTTCATACATTGTCCTAAATACCAGGGTTGAACACAAACAACTTTATTGACACTGAGAAGACTAACCTGAAACACAGTCAGCAATGCTATAGGGAATGTATCAAAATGTGCTGACGGCCGTCCATCTTCAAAGTTCATTCTGAAAGATAACAGTGTGAATATTTATAGAATGGTTAAAAAATGGAAAGTATCAATTACATAATGCCTAAACAATGGTAAATGAACATCTACTGTACCGAATAACAAATAAATGATAAATGACAATCTACTAAACAACTAAACAAATGACAGCTACAGAATGATTAAATAAATAAGTATGTGCATTTCTAAATAACTATGCAATGGTAAGTGAATATCTACTGACTGACTAAACAATAGTAAATTAATGACTATTTATTATATTATCTATCAATAATTATAAGACTAAAAAAAAATTAAAATGTTTATTTACTGAATGATTAACCAACGGTGAATATTTACTATTTTTTCTTCAGCTTTTTCTTCCCAAACAAAGATATGAATTATGAGTATAGATGACAAGTTCCGTTCTTTTTTCCAGGAATACCTCTGCAACATTTGAATAGCTTCTTCAACTTGGTATGGAACTATATACTTGTCTTGTTGACAAGTCAGTGCACTATCCATCATGACTTCTCTACTGTGATGCAACTGGGTATAGAACCATATTTGTCTTGGTGGTAAGCCAGTGCACTGTCCACTATTTTTTCTCTACACTGGTTAATTTGTGAACTGTGCTGTTCTGTCAACAAATGCACTGGAGCTGCAGAGTTTATGCTTTGTGCAGTAGTCTCAACATGTGGTCAGCCACCCAACAAAGAACGATTAAGCCAGACAGGATAAAAACAGGATAAAATCCAATGCAATAAAGCCACTCTGTCACCATCGATCACTTTTATATCTTAGGAAGGAAAATCTAAAATATCAAATATTAATTAAATTCCTTGCCATCTCCACAATGAAGGGTTGGCCAGAATGTACCACTGTTGCTTTTGGGAATATCCCGTGGTGAGGCCACAGTCTCTTTCACAGCATGACTCTTGTACCATTGTCCGAATACCACAAGAACAGTTTTGTTTTTTTCTGAACCGTTCACCTTGGGGAATGAATGCTAGTAAAACATAAAGTAAACAGAGGACACACACACACATATACAAACACACACACATACATACACACACACACACACACATACATACATACACATACGGAGATGACTTACTCTCCACCAAACAGCTGCATGCCCAGCAGGGCAAAGACGATGATGAACAGGAAGAGAAGGAACAAGAGACTGAGGATAGACCTCATACTGCTCAACAGTGAGATGACCAGGTTTCTCAAGGATGACCAGTATCTGTGAATGGACAGATTGGTTAAGTTTACTGATACAAAATATATCATGTTTTATTATTGTTACTATTTAATTATTATAATGAATTAGTTCTCAGACATAATATCTGCCTGGAGTGTAGCCAAGCCAGATATATGTTATAAAAATAAACATGCAAAAAATAAAAAAATTGCAATAAATACCTGGTGACTTTGAATATCCGAAGGAGGCGAAGAGCTCGTAACACACTAATACCAAAAGAGGATCCTTTCTTAAACTCTGACCAGATGACTTCAATTATACTTCCCACAATTACCTGCACAGGAAGTAACAATCAACACTTTATGCATTCAAAATAACAGGTTGTGGACAGAATGTAAATGAGCAATAACTTGGCAATGTAGAAAGTTGAATTAAAATAAGAACTGATATTACAGCAGTCTGAACATTTTTAATCATTATGGTCTGAGGAGAATGATGCTGCAAAGAGTTACCAGGGGATCTGGCTGTCACACAACATTCAAGGAAAAGGGGAGACAGATGTACAATCGGACAGTTACTGGTACCATCAGAACTGGAAGTCTTCGCTTGTTGCTTGTGAGATTTCGTGTCGGCTCCAATTTATGCCGTGGTTTTTCCCACAGGCTGTCCTATGATAAAGGGGTTTTAGGATATGCATGCTTCACCTTCCCTGTCTATACACATCGTGCGGAAAATTGGCTCCCGTTTGTTCGAGGCCTGACATGAAAGTGTGGAGTTCTCTTTTGTTGCAGGCAATATTCAGTGACTGTTTTGTGTTTGTTTATCTGCGTGTGTGCGTGTGTGCGCGCGCGCGTGTGTGTGTGTGTGTGTGTGTGTGTGTGTGTCTGTGTGTCTGTGTGTGTGCGCGCGTGCGCGCGCGCGCGCGCGCGAGAGAGTGTTCAACTAGTTTTTTTTTCTCTTTTAACTAGATCTCTTGTGCAACCATCACTGGTTTGAGAATTGGTGACATTTTGGGGCAGGCCCTGGGTAAAGTAACCAAGTAAGGCTGCAGTTACAGTAATGAGGAGCAAACGCACAAAGCAAGTAACACACACAGTGCCAGCTGCTCACAGTGTGTAAAAAAGAATGTGCTGGCTGCTCACAACATGGAATTTAGAATGCTTACAGTGTTGAAAAAAATAAAACATGACACCCCTAGAACATAGGACAGCCTGTGGGAAATTTTGTGCCTGCCGAGATAGGGTGATTTTTGTGATATACACCATAGCCTTTATTTAAGAAGGCTAGATGTGATCATTAACACGGCATTAAAACTCTGTGGTTAAGCTCAAGCAAGGGAATCAAAGTCAACATTTTGAGAGCAATCATCATCCCTGTGGCAATGTATGCATGTGAGTCGTTTCACATGATGAAAATAGATTAGAGAAGATACAGGATAGAAAGATTCTCAGAATACCGTGGATCAAAGAAAACAGTACTGACCTCTTTAAAGATCTGAACATCCAGGAAGACTGGCTAATAAAACAACACTGTGTCTTGGAACTGAAAGAATACTAGGAGAAAGCATGGTACCAGGAAAGAGGGGCAGTGGTCGTTCAAGCACAAAGATGAGCACCTGGATAAAGTGACACCATGGGTAAGAAAGTGCACGAGTTGTGAGAGCTGGGGACAGCAAGCCATGAATGACTTTTCCATTACATCTTGTGTCTTCATTCTCTTTTTTATCTCCTTGTGTAATCCAAAACAGGAAACATTTTTGCTCAAACAAACAAAACAGTAATAATTTTTTTTAAACTCACCACACAGTCAAAAATGTTGAAAGACGACTGGAAATATATACGGACCCCCAAGGCATACATCTTCACAGACATCTCAAAGATAAACAACCCTAGGAACGCATACTCTGATATATCTGAAACAAGAAATAAGACATGATCATGTTTAGGCAATTCTCTTTCACAGACAAGTATGTCACCATAACAGCAGTCAACATTATCACATGACATGACCTGTCTACATTCGTATGTCACCGTAACAGCAGTCAACATGATCACATGACATGACCTGTCTACATTCGTATGTCACCATAACAGCAGTCAACATGATCACATGACATGACCTGTCTACATTCGTATGTCACCGTAACAGCAGTCAACATTATCACATGACATGACCTGTCTACATTCGTATGTCACCATAACAGCAGTCAACATGATCACATGACATGACCTGTCTACATTCGTATGTCACCGTAACAGCAGTCAACATGATCACATGACATGACCTGTCTACATTCGTATGTCACCATAACAGCAGTCAACATGATCACATGACATGACCTGTCTACATTCGTATGTCACCATAACAGCAGTCAACATGATCACATGACATGACCTGTCTACATTCGTATGTCACCGTAACAGCAGTCAACATGATCACATGACATGACCTGTCTACATTCGTATGTCACCATAACAGCAGTCAACATGATCACATGACATGACCTGTCTACATTCGTATGTCACCATAACAGCAGTCAACATGATCACATGACATGACCTGTCTACATTCGTATGTCACCGTAACAGCAGTCAACATGATCACATGACATGACCTGTCTACATTCGTATGTCACCATAACAGCAGTCAACATGATCACATGACATGACCTGTCTACATTCGTATGTCACCATAACAGCAGTCAACATGATCACATGACATGACCTGTCTACATTCGTATGTCACCGTAACAGCAGTCAACATGATCACATGACATGACCTGTCTACATTCGTATGTCACCGTAACAGCAGTCAACATTATCACATGACATGACCTGTCTACACTCTCAGTGTTTAACAAATTACAATGTGTGGGTCCCTGTGTGGGTCCCTGTGTGGGTCCCTGTGTGGGTTCCGGGGCCCCATTGTGGGGAAAACAAGAATATACCCATGGCCTGCCCAAAAGCGTGTTGTAAGAGTCAACTAACTGCGAGCATCCTTCGAAGTCGGAGTACATCTGCCCGAGAGGCAGGGAACCAACAGTCTGCATGCATATGAGCCAAACAAATGAGCATGCAGAACTCAGTTTCTGGAACAGAACTAGAGTCCAGAAGTGGACGAACAACCAGAACTTTCTGTCGGAGTTTACAGCCGGTGAACGGGAAGAAAAAGACAATGCGTTGGAAGCATTTTCAGTACTGGTCTTAGAATGCAAAGAAATCAAGCTATTTATTTTAACAAATGCATGACAAATGTTAGACAAGGAGAATGTAATCTTGTGATTAATTCAACAGCAAACTGTCATTACAGTTAATGTCTATTTTCAGAAATCTGCTGAATTCAGAATTAAAAAATTACCAATGCAACCTGGTCCTGATAAAGTCCTCTTGAGTCCACTAACAGCACACATTGGCTATCCTGGGATATTTGACAGCTTCCAATTTTTCTATAGGAAAGTGTTACATTGTGCTATAAGGCAGGGAGGCATGGCAGTCACAGCTTATGGTGATGGCGAGTCTGACTAGCAAGACCTGCTTATGTTATTTTACGGATATCACCACAATGGTTGTTGAAGTAAAACGTAAAGAACTCTTTTTCCACACTTTCAGGTGTAGTAAGAATATAGGGCTAGATCTATGTTTTATAGACCAGTCAGCATGTGGTGGTTGATGTGGTCAAAATCAGACTGGCCACCTTTACTTCCCATGACTCTGCCTGGTAACCATTAAAAGCTGGGTTGACCTGGGAGCCAAGGTCTTTCTGAAAAAGTCCAGCTCCATCAGAACCTGAATCCACAACCTTAGGATATATGCAGGTGAGCGTCTAGCCGCTACATCATGGCGGCTCCCCTCAATGGTTGGTGAACATGTTAAATAAGATTTCTTGTCAAAGGCTGAATAATATATTAAAAATACTTTATACTCTTTGAGTCCCAAGGAAAGCAGCACACGTTCAAAGGTTCCTACCTAGAAGCCCAATGAACACATGATGCGCTGATTTTATTCCTTTCTCTACTACCCCATGGGCCTGTGATGCTAAACATCCTGGGACTTAAAGAGATAATATATTACCAGTTAAACCTTAGAATATATTTAAAAAAATCTTGTTATCATTAGATCATTTGGTGGACATAAAAAAGATCTCTGAGCACATCTCATTATTTCAGTTGGTAAGTACATTCAACAAGACTTGAAATCTTCAGCTCCCACTGGTAAATACTTACACAAAAACTGTACAAACCACTCCGGCTGGTTGTAATGCTCTGATGCTACAGTCACTGTGTTGAGAAGAACTAGAACTATGACTATCCAATAGAACAGCTGGCTCTTGACCAGCCTCCGTATAGAATACCGGAAACGTTTCTCTGCCTGCCAGAATGGGGCACATTTTCCAGTTGCTTTTGTCTTCTTGAGGCTTTTTGCTAGTGAGTTTCCTGAAGTAAAGAAAGAGTGAGAACATTATTACATGTCACTGGCTACAGAGATCAGTTAAACAATACTTTCTTCCTTCTTTTCTCTAGATTCTGTTCTGCCACTCAGCAACAGGTTGTGAAGAGGCTATGTAGATACAGTACAGTACATTTTTACCCCACTGGGACATCACACAAGGGATAAACACCCGATGACACAAAGTGCCACCATGTGGATGAGGATCACCGACTATATTGCAGCCCTTGGCAAGAGCCAGGGTGGGGCTTCAAAATAATGAAAAATTGCATCCCACAAGGGGATGACTAGTTGTTATGTGTAGATACAGCTATTCATGGCTTCAGATATCCACCTTCAGTGTCAGTGTTGGTTTGCTCTTCCTGTGAAGGGTGCAAAGCAAACAATACTATCCTATTAACAACACAGAGAACAACCAGATCAACATCCATATGTGAAGCAATGCACACAGGAAAAATGAGGCTACCAGGTTTCAGGGTTTTGGGACACTAGACGGGAAGGAATGTATGTGGTTAAACTGTCATTGAAACTGCAAATTGACCAGTAGGCCAAAAGTGGGTAAAAGCTTGCTCCAAGAAATAGTAAGAATGTAAACAATGAATAAGTAGAGAACTAACAATATGAAACAAAAGACTGCATTTTAAACCATATGAATATATCTTCACTACCATCAATATGTACCAAACGGGGTGACACAGTCATATTTGTACAACCATTTTTGCAGTCTTCTATGCCATTCTGAAACACGCGGATATCATCATCTTGATGTGCCTGCTGGGAAACAGCATCAGTCATGGTCTTTATTAATCTCATCATTATTTTGAAAATTACACCATCTTTCCACTGCTGTGGTGGGAATTCGTTTTGCCAGATTTTGTTAATCAGGTGTAGCATACGTTGTAAGGTATTCTCATCTGCTGTTTTAAGCATTCCTCCTGAGATACCATCATCACCAACAACTTAGTTTTTTCTTAGTTTTGTAATGGCTGATTTCATCTCTTCCACTGTGAATGCCTCACAGGAGGCATCTAGTGGGGACATGGTAATTTCTTCATCCAGTTTGGGAACAATGTCAGGCTGTGGTCTACTTATTAATTCTTTGAAATGTTCTGTCTATCGGTGTTTTTGCTTGTCTTTGATAACAGTAGTTTATCTTGTATGTCTTTGATAGGTGTGTTCAATGTAGGTGTATGATTACATAGCTGTTTCATTATATGGAATATGGCTTTGTTGTTTCTAGTTTTGGCAGCTGTTTCAGCATCTTTATGGTGATAGTTCTTCTAAAACATCTCATCTATGTTATGATGTTATGTGCATTCGCTGAAAAAAGGATTTACATTTAGTAGCAAAAAATTAGCTCCAGAGTTCCACTTCTGGGGACTGAATTCAGACCATTATCTTGGTATCACAACATCACTGCAGCTCTTCACACAATGTTGGTGATGTCACAGTTTCTATTCATTTTCTTCTAGCAGTAAGTGGAAATAAGCATTTTTTTTACCTTTTCCCCATAAAATGGCACACATCACATACACAGCAAGTGTAACCAACCTTGCCCCATTGCTGCCAGGATATCGTCATCATTATGTTCGTTGTCAATGTCCACGTCATCCCCTTTCAGCTGTTTCATTTTTCTGGCGGCTGCCTGTCTGCGAGCTGTAAATATGAAATAATAACACCACAAAAAATGAAAACAGGGTGACTTGCAGTTGAGGTAGTCTCAAAAATGAATTTGCTGAACTATAAATAGGAAACTCAATTGATGGAGTGGGGAGCATACACACATAGAAACAAACTAACCGATGCCTTTATCAACAAGCATTACAAAGGAAGAAGAGTCTCAAATACCAGCCCACATACATTTGAAATAACTGAGCTTCCTAGTCATAGTTCAGTTAATTCTTTTTTGATACCATAATGATAGGTAAATCACATCAGAAACATCAATAAAAACAAAACCACAATAAATAAAGTCATTGCTTCTTCTTTTCTCTACTCCTGGAAAACCTCACAATTTCAGGGCAGGAAGTGATCTGTTCGCTTTGTATATAATACTTTTCAGTGTCTCCATTATTTCTGTGGTTCATCTTCTGTATGGTTGACCACTGGCTTTGTTACCACTGTATCTGTATAACATCACTCTTTGAGATGCCCTCTCTGTTGCCAGTCTTGTAGATTGTTCACCGATAGATTTCAATACTGGTCTTTTGCCAACTCTCCTCCTGATATAATTTTTCAAAACGAATAAACATAGAAATGTCAGAGAAGTTCCACATAAGATCTGGAGTGAGACAAAAATGTGTTCACCACTACTATTCATCATATAGGTCAACCAAATTAGCCACTCAACTAACACCAGCAACGGGTATCACATTAACGAATTGCTAAATGAATTGCTTTTCATGATAACCAGACAATCATAGCACCAACAGCAGTACAACTGCAAGATCATGATAACAGACTCCACTCAGAATGCAACAACTATGATATGAAGATCAGCAAAGAAAAAAAAAAAAAGAAGTGATGACGTTCTCCAGAAAAGAAAGAATCACCAACATCAGTATGGATAAACATCAGTTAGAACAGGCAAGAACTTTACATATCTAGGGATTGTTTTTCAGAAAGCAAAAGAATGGAAAAAAAAGAAATACAATAGATTTACAATAATATCAATCAAGTTATAGGACACGTGGCACCAATACTAAAATTATTTTAATGCACACATGGCACTAACAGAGCACTTTTTCAACACAATTTTCTTATCAATGCTATGGTATCAGTGTAAAACATGGACACTGTCTTCATAATACAGAATAAATGTAGTCATGACAGCAATGAAATGGTTATTGTTATGCTTCATATCATAGTTGTTGCCTTCTGAGTGGAGTCTGTTATTATGTTCTTGCAGTTGTACTGCTGTTGGTGCTATGTTTGTCTGGTTATCATGAAAAGCAATTCATTTAGCAATTCGTTAATGTGATACCCGTTGCTGGTGTTAGTTGAGTGGCTAATTTGGTTGACCTATATGATGAATAGTAGTGGTGAACACATTTTTGTCTCACTCCAGATCTTATGTGGAACTTCTCTGACATTTCTATGTTTATTCTAACTGTGTTGACTGCTTACACACAAACACTTGCACAATGTATTAAGATGTTTGTTTTCTCTGTTATCTTTTAGTGCCTTCCATAACATGTCCCTATTCACTCAATTGAAAGCTTTTCTCTTGATCTACAAATGTGACATGTAATTCTTTATCAAATTCTACCATCTTTTCCACTAATTGTCTAAGTATAAATATTACATAACATGGACACAGAAGAAAAGAAATAGTGACATCCTTAAAGATCTGAACATCAAGGAATATTGGCTAATAAACAGCATCTTGTCTCGGAAGCTGAAATATTTTGCCATATCAGTCACCATTGTGGACTGGAAATAAATTATGTCAGAAGAAATTTCTTGATACGAGGGACAAGACAGAATGTATTTTTGCATACCTTCAATAATCTTGAGTTTCTCCTCATCTGTTGTCCTCTCCTCACTTAATATCACCTCCTCTATAGAAATAAAAAACAATGAACATGTTACATTTATAAAAAAAAAGAAGCAAAATGAAATATTATGTCTCCTTTATGTAACAGGAACAAAGGAATTGTAATGAATTACAAAAAGATAGTGGTAAAAAATGACACACAAATACCTCTGCACAGAAGAGACTATCACAAGCTGAAGGTAATGGCTGGATGCTGTGCCCACTGTCTGTTCGCTAACATTCACTATTCTGTAGAAAGACTTGACCTCACACTTGATCTCACTTGACTCCTCTACCCCATTTGATCTTATCTGGCTAGTACCTTTGACCACCCCTGTCTTTCCCCACTTTACCCTACCTGCCTCTCCCACTTTATCTCACCTGAATGCCTCAATTGATCCCACCTCACTTGTCCACTTGATCACACATGACTCTCTCTCTAGACCTCACATATCTTCCTCACTTTATCTCATCTGTCTCCTCACTTTACCTCATCAGTCTCCTCACTTTACATCATCTGTCTCCCCATTTACCTTACCTGTCTCTCCACTTTACCTCATCTGTCTCCTCCACTTTACGTCACCCGTCTCCCCCATCTAACTGCCCCACTTGATCTTAACTAATTGCTCCACTTGATCACACATGACTCTTTCACTAGACCTCCCTGTCTCTTGTACCACTGACTCTTGTATTATTGCCTCTTGTACCATTGACTCTTGTACCACTGACTCTTGTACCATTGACTCTTGTACCGCTGTCTCTTGTACCACTGACTCTTGTACCATTCACTCTTGTACCACTGTCTCTTGTACCATTGACTCTTGTACCATTGACTCTAGTACCACTGATTCTTGTATCATTGTCTCTTGTACCATTGACTCTTGTATCATTGACTCTTGTATCATTGACTCTTGTACCATTGTCGGATCATTTAGGGTTTAAAACCTAAATGGAATGAATCCTAGCACTAGAGAATCATGAAATCGTTAACTGTATTCACTAATCTCCAAGCCATGAAGAAGCGCCACTTGACTCTCACAAAACACCTACATCACACCTGAAATCTCACAAAACACCTACATCACACCTGAAATCTCACAAAATACCTACATCACACCTGAAATCTTACAAAACACCTACATCACACCTGAAATCTCACAAAACACCCACATCACACCTGAAATCTCACAAAACACCTACATCACACCTGAAATCTCACAAAACACCTACATCACACCTGAAATCTAACAAAACACCTACATCACACCTGAAATCTCACAAAACACCTACATCACACCTGAAATTTCACAAAACACCTACATCACACCTGAAATCTCACAAAACACCTACATCACACCTGAAATCTCACAAAACACCTACATCACACCTGAAATCTCACAAAACACCTACATCACACCTGAAATCTCACAAAACACCTACATCACACCTGAAATCTCACAAAACACCTACATCACACCTGAAATCTCACAAAACACCTACATTACACCTGAAATCTCACAAAACACCTACATCACACCTGAAATCTCACAAAACACCTACATCACACCTGAAATCGACTTCTATGCCGGATCTCACCTGCTTTACAAATCCACTCCAGATAACCGTTGAGCTCCCTCTCAATCTGCTGCTGCCTGCGAAGTTTGAAGAAAGCTCTGCGATTTTCTACTCTCTCTCTCTCTTTTGCAAATTCTCTGTTGAAAAGACATGGGACAATTATTTAATTTTTCTTTTTATCAGTTAGCAAACATAAATCAGTCTTATAATAGATTTAATTTACGGTTATTATTTACTATTTTATTATATTTCTGTTATCTTATCATAAATGTAACTGCACACCAAGTGAGCTATGTTTCTCTGTGCATCATTCAACCCAGAGCATTCCTACCCAATGGTCCCATAAGAAGTTTGTTTATCACCTCTCTCCACACATACTCTCTGTAGTATTCCAAGCATGGCTAGGACTCTCTCCCTCCATCCTTCTCTCTCTCTCTCTCTCTTTCTCTCTCTTTCTCTCTCTCTCTCTCTCTCTTTCAAGACATGAAGTATGGTTGGCATAAAAAACTCATCAGCCAAGACTATGCACCCTGACTCCTTTTCATGTGAGTGGTTGAGAAGGGAGGTCACGAAACTAATAAATACTGTCTTTCTCCAATGCACATGAAAACTTAGTCTCATGTATACCTTGTCTATCTTGTATACATCACCCTTCTTTCGCTCTCTGACACGCACACACACATGCGCCTGCACACATGCACACGCACACACGCACACGCATGCACTCACACACATGCACACACGCAAACACACACACACAAATGCTCTCAGTCCAGCCTCATATTCGCCTGTATACATTTAGCACACACAAGTACACGCACACACGCTTGCTCTCCATCTATCACTTGCCAACATTTTTACTTGCCTTTTCCATACACACACATTCACAAACTCCATATATATATATATATATATATATATATATATATATTGGTCACACACTTTTCCTCCTCGACTTAAATATGTTGTTGTTGACATATTCATGGCATTGTGGTGTTGGGGTGTCTGTGGATTACCTTCCTCCCCGGGCAGCAGCTAGAAATGCCCTGTACCAGTTCTAAAGGAAATATGGGTTGTGTTTCTGCCTTCCCCTTTAACACGTAGCTAAGGTGGGGCTCACAGTGTGCTCATTCCCCGCCACCAGATTGCCTGCAGGTTACGCTGAGCTCTTCATGGCCTAAGCATGAGTAGTTGGGGCAATTGGATCGTCACGTCCTGAGTCCCTGTGCCTTTACGATAGTTTCCGGTATTTAGGGGGGTTAGCATACTTGTTTCCATTCCTAAGACTGTTCAGCACACCTCTGGCTCCTTCCCTCCCACAGGGGGCAGTACGGTGTGGTGCACCGGGTTTATTATCGAGGTTTGCTCCTCTAGATCCATTGTGTTTTGCCTAGGGATTCGCACCCCCAGTTACCAGGACTACCTCGGGGAGGCTGTGACTCTTCACCACGCACAATAGTCTTGAGGTAAGAGAGATTTTGCTAGGTCAAGAGGCTGACACCACAATGGACGCTCCTTTCATGAACAGATATTCACTAGACCTAGGGTGAAGTAAGAGGGGGAACCTACTACCCACAACACCAACACTTCTTACCCCCTGCCTCTCGAGGCTCAGTCCCACTTAAACATGTAAACATACATGATCATGTAAATATTCCAATTTGTCTGGAATGGACACTTCCCAGAACAAACAAACATACCCTTTATGTCTGAAACCTAAGACACATCCCTCACTATCTCATAACTCACTAAACAATATACAAGAATATTTTTTTAAAACTGGTGTAAAGAAACTAGCATATTCCTCTAGTCACCATCGTCTTTTGTGTGCCACCTGGAGTTCAGCCCAGAATTGTTTGCCTCTGGCAGTAATGTTCTTCTCAGTGTTTTCCTTGGATGTCCTCTTTTTCTCAGACCATTTGTTTCCCATTTCAGCACTTGTTTTGTAATTCTTTGCATGTTTCGTCTGAAAATGTGCCCAATATATCTCCACTTTCTTTGTCTTTTTGCAGTCCATACAGGTATTTGTCCAGACATTTCTCTGATCTCCCAACTCTTTGAATTCATCTCATTTTTTTTCATGATTTCTTTTTCAGACATTTATTTTCAATTGCATTTAACTTCCGTAACTTTTGTTGCATATCTGTGCTGGTTCTTCAGCTTATGCTGGCATATGTTACAACTAAAATAACATTATAATTGAAGATTTGTAGTTTGGTCTTAGAGCTGTGTAACTTGGAGCTATATCCCTCCATAGGCATTCCCAAAACTGGATTAGCAGTAGCAGTATGATATATCAATAAAACTATTTCAACACATGGTGCAAGGAGACTGGTTTACTCACCCACTAAGCACACCCAAAACTAGATTTAGCATGAAGAAGGACCCTAAGATTATCAGGGGTATGAAATAAAATATGTTGAGCCAGTTTCCTAAGGCATCATTTGTCTGTAAAAGAAGAAAAAGCATTAATAATGCGTAGTTCATCTCAACAATTAAAACAAGATCTGGGATAAACATGTTAAATATCTTCTTCTTCAGTATTCCGAGTCCTTGAGGTTCATTGTTGCAGATATCACCCGCCTCAATTCATCTCTGGTTAACCTTTTTTTCCACATGGTGACAAAACATGTTTGTAGGTCTGACTGGATATTATCTCTCCATCACCTTCTTGGTCTGCCTCGTGGTCTACGACCACTCAGCTCCCATGTGTACACAGTTTTCACCTCTTTGTCATCTGACATTCTCTCAATATGTGCTAGCTATTTAAGTCTGTTAGCGTTCATGATACCAGTAATTAATGTTGAATACACCAATTAAACAATTTAAAAAAAACAATGTTCAATATACAAACAATAACAACCAGAAGACTTAAATCAATTAAATAAACAATATGGTCTATAATATAAATGCTAAATATAAAAACAACTAGAACTAGAATAACATTGTTAAACTAACAGTAAATTAAAAAAGATCATTTGAAAATTGAAGAGATTAGAAGAACTAGAATAACATTGTTAAACTAACAGTAAATCAGAAAAGATCATTTGAAGATTGAAGAGATTAGAAGAACTAGAATAACATTGTTAAACTAACAGTAAATCAAAAAAGATTATTTGAAAATTGAAGAGATTAGAAGAGCTAGAACAATACCCATTGTTAATTTGACTGAGAACAAAGACTGAAATTGCTTTGCCACCAAAGAGGAAGGATTAGTCTTCTGCGAAGCTTGTTTCTGTGGTTAAGCCAACTTCTACTGGGTAACAGACACTCTATAGAATTTTCTGGGAAGAAAAGATAATGAAGAAGGAAACTCGTCAACATTCTTGTATGCCATGGCCTAGAATATGTGACAGCCTAACACGTCCCATTACAATGACTGTAGCTGCTAGACTAACCCTAACTTATACTTACATAGACTAGACTGGTGGATAATGATGAATCTCTGACACTAGCCCAAGAAACTATACCTTATACATAGATTAGGCTGGTGGATAATGATGAGTCTTTGACACTAGCCCAAGAAACTATACCTTATACATAAAAAGATTAGGCTGGTGGATAATGATGAGTCTTTGAATTACCCCAATAAACTATACCTTATACCCACACAGACCAGGCTGGTGGATAATGATGAGTCTCTGACACTAACCCAAGAAACTATACCTTATACATAGATAAGGCTGGTGGATAACAATGGGTCTCTGACACTAACTCAAGAAACTATACCTTACACATAGATTAGGCTGGTGGATAATGATGAGTCTTTGACACTAGCCCAAGAAACTATACCTTATACATAAATAGATTAGGCTGGTGGATAATGATGAGTACTTGAATTACCCCAAGAAACTATACTTTATACATAGATTAGGATGGTGGATAATGATGAAAATCTGACACCAACCCAAGAAACAATACCTTATACATAGATTAGGCTGGTGGATAATGATGAGACTCTGACACTAACCCAAGAAACTATACCTTATACACAGATTAGGCTGGTGGATAATGATGAGTCATTGAATTACCCCAATAAACTATACCTTATACCCACACAGACCAGGCTGGTGGATAATGATGAGTCTCTGACACTAACCCAAGAAACTATACCTTATACATAGATAAGGCTGGTGGATAACAATGGGTCTCTGACACTAACTCAAGAAACTATACCTTACACATAGATTAGGCTGGTGGATAATGATGAGTCTTTGACACTAGCCCAAGAAACTATACCTTATACATAAATAGATTAGGCTGGTGGATAATGATGAGTACTTGAATTACCCCAAGAAACTATACTTTATACATAGATTAGGATGGTGGATAATGATGAAAATCTGACACCAACCCAAGAAACAATACCTTATACATAGATTAGGCTGGTGGATAATGATGAGACTCTGACACTAACCCAAGAAACTATACCTTATACACAGATTAGGCTGGTGGATACTGATGAAAATCTGACATTAACCCAAGAAACTATACCTTATACATAGATTAGGCTGGTGGATAATGATGAAAATCTGACACTAACCCAAAAAACTATACCTTATACACAGATTAGGCTGGTGAATAATGATGAGTCTGTGACACATAACCAAGAAATGACCTTATACTCACATAGTACATGACATTGGTCCAGCCCTCCATGGTGATGCACTGGAACACAGTCAGCATAGCAAAGCCAATGTTGTCAAAGCTGGTGATGCCATAGTTAGGACCCCGCCAGCCCTCCCGGCACATTGAGATGTTGGTGCGGCACCGGAATGTTCCAGGAGAATCTGAGATGGCATTGCACGGTCGTATATCTATCTCATCTCCAAGGTCAATGTCATCTGAAAAATGAGTCTATCAAAGTTAGATAATGCAGTATTGTAATCATGTTACCATATATTTAAACAAATCTTTTCCATATTTATTTTTTATTCTGTAATTACATTTTTTCAATTTGTGTATTTCTTTTCCTTCCTAATCTTTTATTCTAGTATTACATTTTTTCATTTGTGTATTTACGTACATTTTATGCATTCAGTCATTAAGCAACAAAAAAAAAAAGGAAAGGTCCCTTTTCCACGCCTTTAGACGTATAGGGCATATAGGGCTAGACCTATATTTTTATAGACCGATCGGCACAAGATTGGTGATGTAGTCAGTATCACGCCGGCCGCCTTTACTTACCGGGACTGCACCCAGCACCCATTCAAGGCTAGGTCGACCTAAGAGTCAAGGTCATTTCTGAAAAAATCCGGCTACGCCAGGGAGCGAACCGACAACCTTCCGATCTGCACGTGAGCGTCTAGCCGCTACACCACAGTGACTCCATATTCAGTCATTAACCCACACTTTTCCTTATTCTTTATCCTTATTCTTTATCGTTAATCTTTATCCTTATTCTTTATCCTTATACTGACAGCTAGAGAGATAAACAACACACTAAAAATGCAAATCGTCAAATGCCATATATACTCAGTCCTGCTATATGGTGCAGAAACTTGGACAATGAACAAGTAACTAGAAAATCGAACTAAGTCTCTGAAATGAGGGTACATAGAAGAACAGTTTGTATTTCATAGAAGCAAAAACAGTCCAATACAGAGGCTCTGGAAAGGCTACAAATGAAAAGAGAATTACTGAAAGAAATAAAAAAAGAGACAATTGAAATACTTTGGCCACATTAAAAGACACAACACACTTTCAAAAACCATTCTGGAGGGAAAGGTCAAAGGCAACAAAGCAATAGGTAGGCAATGATACAAGTGGGAGGACAACATCAAGAGATGGATGGGCAGCAGTCTGAGAGAGTGTATCCAGCAAAACATGGTGTGCTATTGTAATGTTTACTTTTAGATACACTATACATTACACTTCTGATATGGGATGAAACATGGACAATCTGGTATAGTCAAGGCTGTAGGGGCTAATGGATTACGATGAGTCGATGGCGCTAACCCAAATGCGTGCCCAGACTTAGCAGATTTATACTGTCTTCAAGATCTTGAGAGGAGAGATTATAATTGACTTTTCATGGAAAAAGACAGTAGAGGTACCTTGTGATGGCTGGGGAATTATGACATCGCTGTGTTTGTCCGCACCAGGATGTCATGTGCTTAACACTCTTGACATCCTTAACAAAAAGGCTGACAGGTTACAAGGCAATGCCATAGTTATTGTAATTTCTATCACACTTTAAAGGTTTTCATTTGAAACCCCCTCATATTAATCACAAGCTAAATGGTCCAAAAATAAGTGAGACTGGGACCATATGCCCCAGGCAGGCAAATGAGTCCTTTCCTAAAAACTTACTTCACTCTGTGTTACTTCTCCCACCTCATTTATCTAGATTACCTTCATCGTATGTGTGGGTGCCATTCTTGAAACAGGCACTGTGAAATGTGCCAACATAAATCTCCAGCCCAATGATGGCAAAGATAACAATGGCAAAGAGAACCAGGAGGCACACTTGCAGCAGGGGGGCCATGGCTCGGATAATTGACTTCAGGACCACCTGGAGACCTGTTTGGGAGAAAGTTAAAGATAATTGATATCACTGCTGTCTTCTTTTGACACTGCTTTTATATTGTAGTGTTTTTCTCTGTCCCACCATCTGTACTTTAGTGTTCAAAGAAGATCAGTTGTCCTGAGCTTTTCTCTGTTTTACCATTTCTACTCAAGTGTACAGAGAAAGACAAGCTGACCTGAAGGGCTGTGTGAGAGAAAGTACAAAATAATCAATGTCAAGGCTGTCTTTTTTTTTTTGACACTGCTTTTATTGTAGTGTTTCTCTGCCCCACCACCTGTACTTTAGTGTTCCCAAAACATAAGCTGCTCTGAGCCTTTCTCTTCTTTCTACTCCAGTGTACAGAGAAAGACACATTGACCTGATGATCTATCTTATATATATATATATAATGACATAATGTTTATACACACATGTATAATACAACTTTATAATATAACTTACTGTTAATATATGTATAAACACACAGACTGACTTACTGGGAATTCCAGACACCAGTTTTAGGGGTCGTAGCACTCGAACTGCTCGTAATGTTCGCAGGTTGAATGTAGTTGATGACCCGGAGGCAAACAAAGTGATAAATCTGAAAAATAACAGAAATGAAACTGTAAAAGTGGATTTAATACACACTGTTTGAACAATTCTAACGCAACAGCAAATACAGAAGCAACAGTGAAAACAAAACAGCAACACTATCACAATGGCAGCAAAGCTAGGAATTGACACTACAACACTCGAGACATTTTCTTAGATGATCCATCCTCATTTTCAACAGCCAGGAAGGAGTTCCAATTCCAATGGCATCTGTAGCAGTTTAATTATATTCCGCCTTGCTTTTCCTCTAAGTTCAGAGTGTCGACCAGATACCTGTCACTCCAAGCTACACCATTCTCTCCAGACTATAATGATCGATTCGTGCCTCTGAACTTTTCACTTACTCCCAAAGGGTCTTGATCACATCTCGCTTGTCATGCACAAATTCACCATCCATTAGTGCTGAACCAGCCAGTCTGTCTACCTGTTCATTTGCTAACACTCATGCATAATCTGGAGAGAATAACCAAAGAATGTGAACTTTATTGGGACCCCTAAAGTGATGCTTGCACAGAGCATGCCTGTCTTCACCTTTTTTTTTTTTTTCTGCAGCCAAAACATCTGCTCTTTCATTACCTCACATGCCTGAGACTACTGGGCAGTTTATCCGAGGTCTTTCAACAAAGGAAGGTATTATAATAAATGCAACATTAACAACATCCATGTAATGTTACACATAATAACAACTTGAATACAATTGACAATAACAGTGAGTAGCAAACTTTATGTAAATGAAATACAGCAGTGGAAATTTCCAGACAGACAAACAAGGAAAATAACAGCAGTACAAGGAAACATACCCTGTAACTACTACAATGAAATCCATGATGTTCCAAACACTCCTCAAGTAAGAATCCTTGTGTAAAACAAATCCTAAAGCAATGATTTTTAGTGAAGCTTCTACACAGAAGATGCCTAAAAAGTACACCTCTGTTTCATCCTGAAAAATATAAGCAGAATGTACATATATGGCTGAGAAGTCAGAAGCATACAGTATGTATGCATATAATGTTAAGAATTCAGATTCATTAAGTACTCAATGAGTTACTACAACTGAGTACTGTTGTATTCCAGGTCTCACTCATTCTAAAGTTTCAATCAAATCTCTGATCCAATTATAGTATTGTATTTCGAATCTCTGTGGGTTTTTTAAAAACTATTGTATTTCACGCTACTGATCCATATAATAACACAGTTGTATGTTCTTCTCGGTGCCATAATTTAGCATTGTGTTACTAGAATCATTATCATTCTGTAAATTTTTATTCCAGATCTTTGAACTAATTATAATATTGTGTTAAAATCTTTAAAAAAAAAACAAAATAAAAACAACAACGTTGAGTTGACGATGCAAGTGAGAAAACACAGGTTGAGAGAGAGCAGCACGAGAGGGAAAGATAAATGAAAGATTAAAAAGGAGAGAGCTTGGGAGATGGGTGTGGCAGATCACAGGGAAACATTTCATTTATCTATAGTGTTGAGGGGAAAATGAAACAGCGAGTCAGACATGAGTCGAGTGAGAGAAAAAGAGAATAGAAGGTGAGATAGATTTAAAACAAAACTAGTGAGAATGTATGACAAAGAAAGTAAAAGATGGATACACAGTTAAAGAAGAGAGGATATCCTGAGTGAGAGAATTAGAAATAAAACGGGTGATAAGAATAAACATATATACATTAGGGAAAAGAGAGAGAGAGAGAGAGAGAGAGAGAGGGGGGGGGGAGGGAGGGAGGGAGATAGTGACTACCTTCTTCTTGTACATTTTCTAAGTGATTAGTTTTGCTTGTCAAAAAACAAATTAAGAGCAAACTTCATAAATTTGAGATGGTCAAGTACTTTCTCTTTCACGCTACCTGCAATCGTCCACAGCAGCGGCATATGGCTGTTGGTTTATTGTCATTTCAGTCTCCATATATTCACACAGTAAACATCTTCTTCTTCTTCTTCTTCTTCTTCTTCTTCTTCTTCTTCTTCTTTTTCTTCTTCTTCTTCTTCTTCTTCTTCTTCTTCTTCTTCTTCTTCTTCTTCTTCTTCTTCTTCTTCTTCTTCTTCTTCTTCTTCTTCTTTTTCTTCTTCTTCTTCTTCTTCTTCTTCTTTTCTTGTTTTTCTTTTTTTCTTCTTCTCCTTCTCTCTCCTTTCCCCGTCTAAGTCATATTCTGGCTTTCACGTCTCGTTTTAAAAAGATATCGGGTGCCAATCTTGGTATGTGCTACGTAGATGATAGACATTACGGATGCTTTATCTATCCGTACCTTGCATGGTCGACTTCTAGTTCGGCTTCAGTTGTGTGTAAATGACCGGGCTCTCTGTGGAGCACTACCTGGTATTGGTCGTTACATTTCTGATCCTGTCTTTTCTACTTATATTTAGGATTCGTAGTAAACTTTTCATTTGTGTTGTTACGATTTTATATTTTTTTTAACGGGGGGGGGGGGGGGGGGGGGTGCGGCTGTTATCCTTGTTAAAGTCGGCGTTTGGCACTGGCTTCGTAGTGTTGGTTAAAAAAAAAAATAAGATGCATTGAACAATGGTAGTTTTGTGTCAAATCGTGTATGTTTGTAGCAGTAACTGTCTCTCACAGTTAAACGTAATCATTCAGAAACCGAGCCTTTGCTTCTACCGCCAGTAGCATGACAATGGGGTTATGGCTGTGACAAAGACCCTAGAATGGTCGACAACTCTGCTCAGCGATTCACTGAGCATGCTACAGAAGATCAAGGTGGGGGCATATACGGAAACAGTGGCTCCATCTAACACGGCACGCAGCGTTTCGCAAAATACCTTCATTTTTGTCCCAGGGTATGCTGGTGTGAAAGGCAATGAGAGATCAGAGGCCCCGGCTAGCAGTGCGACTATCAGGAATTGGCCATCTATGGACAGGAGAAACATCATCAATGCAATACGAAAGACTGAACAGTGTGAAGCTTTCAGTTTGGCAGAAAGCTGATTTTTCACTGAATAAACTAAATACTCTGAGCGTATCAACTGGAGCCGCGAGACATGAAAACTATGCGGAGCCACACGTCGTTACATCAACCAGAACAGAATGGGAGTTGTTAGCATAAAAACGCATACAGACATACTCAGGAGGAGATCGGAGCACTGATGGTCGTGTCCGATGTGCGATGAAGATGAACCTTAAACAAAACTGAACAATGAACAATCAGATACTTACCAGCTGCAAGGCAAGCGGTGTTTTGTCAGACTGTGGAAGATGTTCCTCTAGGGCCAACACTATACAGTTGGCGATGATTGTCAGCAGTACCATGTACTCGAACGGCGTGAGTGCAGTTAAGGAGTGAAACGATCTCAAAAGACACCACATGCGACACCATATACAACACTACAGATATCACAACATATGACAACCTTACATGACACCACAAATTGCCCGGCTCTCTAGCGTAGTTGGCTAAACCGGATTGCGCAGAGACCGGGTTACGAACTCCTTGTGGTCCGGGTTCACTACAGGGGGTAGGCAGAAAAGCCATATTTTCTCCCAGATTTACGGTATTTACAATGGAATCAAGGCCGGAAGGTTGCGATATCCATAATACCGAGCCTAAGGGTTAACAACTCATGGCTTCTGGATACTAAAACAAACAACAAACGACACCACACATCAGGAACGCCGACACAAGAAAAAATGTTGGGGGGAAAAAGGGGGGGGGGGGCGCTCAATTTATTTACATAATTATAGAGGGGCAGCTGAAAGTTCCAAAGCCTTCGTAAATAATATTAAGAATAACAATAATAAGGATAAATGGCTTATTGGTAAATACATATTATATACCTGTAATAATGTTGGATGTTGAATTAACAGTGCATCGCAGCACTCGGGACACACCCATAAGCGCTCAGTCCCCATCTTCAGCAGCAAGCGAAGAGTTAAAATTCTAATGGTACCAGGAACTGTCTGATTGTATATCCGTCTTGCCTTTCCCCTGCGTGTCGAGCGTCGGCAAGATCCCCTTGTAACTCCTCGCAATGCAATTCTTCTCAGACCGTATTGATCTATTTGTGCCTCGGCACTGTTCACTCGCTCCCAAAGGGCCCTAACAAAATCCAGCTTGTCGTACATCAGTTCATCACTAAGTGGTGCAGAACCGGCCAGTTTATCTGCCAGCTCATTTCCCAACATACAGGCATAACTTGGAGAAAATATCCAAAGGATGCTAACTACCCAGGACCTTTAAAGTGATGCTTGCCACTCTGCACGGATCATGCCTGTCTCCACCTTTCTCAACATGCTCTGTGAGTCAGTTACAATGGCGGTATGTGTACAGCTGGTTCTCAAATCAGCGGAAGGCAGCAGTGACTGCTTCCACCTCCATTCTCAAACTAGACGTTGTGATATCCTATGCCAGGGTTTGTTGCACCAAACTACGTCCATTCGCCTTCGCTTTGAACCCCCATGCACTTCGTTTACCCCTCAACACAGAGCCATCTGTATATACAGTCATATCACCTGGGCGGGAAATTTAATGAATCATTCGTTGAACTTCTGATTCTGCAGCACCAGCTGGCCAGTCCCTGCACTCACGTCCTAAAGTGATTAAAACCCTACACAAGTCTGAAACATGATCGGACACTTTGACCCACTCCTTTCCTCGCCTAAATGTATCAAGCCTGCACACATGTCCAACTGTGTCTTCAGCTTGCGCAATCCAAGACTTTCTTCAAGACTTTCATATTTGAAACAATATGAAATGCATACACACATTTATAAACTAAGATATTCTATACATGTTTAGAAAAGGTGAAAGTGAGGGTCCTCAAAGTATCGGATGTTCTAGAATTGGGCGCCCCCTGCTACATATGACAACGCGTACGAGTTGATACATTCCAATGAACTCAACGCCTAACTGTATGGTAACCAAAGGGAATTAACTAATATAAGTGGTGACAGTCTGGTGGCCAACTGAACATCGGCGAAGTGTCGACCGCTGGCTCGTCGGTAGACGGCTTCGTCGTCGGTCGGGACAGTATTTGGGTCTGTCTCCCACGATCGCATCAACACTATATACATATGTTTGAACACTTCACCACAGACATGTTCGCCTACACACATATGTTTGACCACTTCACCACAGACATGTTCGCGTACATACATATGTTTGACCACTTTACCACAGACATGTTCGGGTACATACATATGTTTGACCACTTCACCACAGATATGTTCGCGTACATACATGTGTTTGACCACTTCACTACAGACATGTTCGCCTACATACATATGTTTGACCACTTCACCACAGACATGTTCGCCTACATACATATGTTTGACCACTTCACCACAGATATGTTCGCCTACATACATATGTTTGACCACTTCACTACAGACATGTTCGCCTACATACATATGTTTGACCACTTCACCACAGACATGTTCGCCTACATACATATGTTTGACCACTTCGCCACAGATATGTTCACCTACATACATATGTTTGACCACTTCGCCACAGACATGTTCATCTACATACATATGTTTGACCACTTCGCCACAGACATGTTCGCGTACATACATATGTTTGACCACTTTACCACAGACATGTTCGCGTACATACATATGCAAACATCTCGCTCTTATTATACAATCAGTTACGAGTTGAAAACTTTAAACACACACAGACACAGGGGGATAGGGGTGGCAAGGGGAACTCAATAATCTCAAACTGTTCACTTTACGAAATGCTGATGAACATAACTGACCGAGCGTCATGAGACGTGAGCTGTGGTTGCCGGGTGACTAAATGTTTTCTTGTCGGTCATTAGTTCTTGGCATCTGCCAGAACTGCCATTGCTGCTTGTTTTTCCTACCTCTGTCGTGACGGCTGCGGGTTCTTTGAGCCTGGGGGATTTATGGCTGCATGCTTAGTGCTGTCGCCACATACTGTGCAGGTACAGCCCTTCTCAGACATATAATTTCAATGATTACTAATTTTCTTGTCTAGTTTGCTGTATCCGGCGGGATAAGTGGACACCTCTGGGGTGCCCTCTGCTGTTAGCAGGAGCATCACAGAGAAGGGCACTCACTTGACCCTAGCAATCGAAAAGGTTGCTGAAGGCTGAGGACATGGTCTAAAGCCATGTGGATGTGGAAAGCAACGGGAAACTACCACATTACTATCCAAAGAAACTCATCATGAAAGCCAAAAATTAAACTCACAGATCTGATGGTGAGGCACCCAGGCCAGGCAGATCAAAAACACGAACTGGGGAAGAGAACGATGGCAGAGCAAGTAAGGGTAGTTGTGATGACGGCCTTAAGCCCGACGGTACTACAACAGAAAACTTTGTCACCCTCTAAGGAAAACTCTAAAGTTAGGAACATGAAATGTTAGGAGCATGTATCAGGGAAAACTTAACATCGTTGGCAGAGAATTAGAAAGGAATAAAATGATGTCCACAGATAAAACTGACTGTCACCCAAAAATAACAATAAATAATAAAGAAATTGAAAATGTCACAAACTTTGAATATCTAGGCTCTATAATAAACAACAATGGAGACTGTTCAATATAAATTAAAAGGAGGATGGTCATAGCAATGCAGAGATTGAACAGCCTTAAAAGTCTATGGTTGAGCACCAGCAAGAAGATAAAAATTAGAATTTTGAGAGCATGCATCTTCCCTGTGGCTGCATACGCATGTGAGTCGTGGACTATCTCTCAGTCCTTAAGAAAGAGAATAGAGGCTTTTGAGCTGAAATGCTACAGAAAGATTCTCAGAATATCTTGTACAAAGAAGATGAGAAATATTGACATGTTAAAAAATCTGAACATTAAGGAAGATTGGCTAATAAACAGCATCCTTTCTCGAAAGCTGAAATATTTTGGTAATTTCAAGCGCCACGACGGATTGGAAAAAATGATAGCAGAAGGCATGGTACCAGGAAGGATGGGCAGGGGCCGACCAACACGAAGATGGGCACAGGATATAAGTGACTCCTTGAGTGTGAAAGTGCATGAGGCAGGAGAACTGGCGAGAGACCGAATTTCTTTCAGGCAGACTGTGATGAGAGCGACGTTCTGCAAAGGACCTCCTACATGATAAGTTTGCTGTGCGTGACCACGTCTGGTACTGGTAGCATAGTATGGGAATAACTTTGTTTTGTATGTTTCTTTGTGCCGATTGGGATTGTCTTAGCCGAGGACGAGTGTGACTTTAAAAAAAAAAAAAGGTTTCATTTGAAATGTCCTCTTCATATTTCAGCGCGGAAGTTCCTGCTCTCTGCCGTACACAGCCAGGACAGTATTGCCCATGCAGCATGAACCAGTTCTCGACTGATCAATGTAAAATGTAAAGACAAGCCTACTAAAATTTGCTGGAAGGTACAGAGAAAAGCCACTGATATGTGTAACTTGAAGCTTCCGACTGAACCAGTCTTTACTGTCTTATTCACTCCCTTTTAAAGATGCTGAGTTGAGATGATTCAAGAACCGACATCACAGCATGCGGGATTTTTCCATATTCGCTCTGTCCTTATATTTAGCAGCCACCGCAGAGTTCCAATAACAATAGTACAAGCAGCATTCTGATTACACGACCGTCTTGCCTTTCCTGTCAACGTTGAGTAAAGGCAAGATCCCCTCGTCACTTTCAACAGACTGGTGATCCATTTGCTGCTACGAATTCTACACGTTTTATCCCTTTTTAAAGGCCGTGTAAGTCGGGGAAGGGAGGCTGGTGTTTCGTCTGAAGATGTAGGACAGCACGGCAAGTGCAAAATCTCCCAGCTGTGTAGTTTAGGAATGTTATTTCTCGTTCGCACCTCCCATCTCCTGAAACATTTCAAATAACCTCTTTGTTGTGTTAAAGCTCCAGCGACCACCCATTGCCCTCTGAATCACCAAAACACCCACCCTCACCTAGTGGATAATAATGACTGAGTTGGAAATCGAACGCAAAACATTCAAAGCAACAGGCAAACAGCTGAACAGCTCAACCACACCCGTCCTCGACCGCTTTCGTTTAACTCGGCGATCCTGATCTGCGTTAAGCCCGGAAGACAGAGGTACTGGTTCACCGAAACCAACTTTGCATGCTTATGACACACTGTGCTGAATACCTCATGCATATAAAACAATGTGCAAGCTATCGAAAAGCAGCTGCCGCCATGGGAGTTTGAGCTATTACTTCCTAATCTATGTTAAGCCACAACACGTACCCGGAGCCACTGTGGTGTAGCGGCTAGGCTCTCGTCTACACATCTAAAGGTTGTGGATTCACATTCGAACGGAGCCTGGCTCTTTCAAAGAATGAATTCGGCTCTCAGATTGACCTAGCCTTAAATGGGTAC